ATAGGAAAGCTGGCTGAGTGCAAATTCTACAACTAGAAGGAAAGAGAAAAGCACACCAAGGCTCAGAGGAGCTGCAAAAGACTGAGGTACAGAGATGTGCGCAAGGAGAGGACAGATGGCTGAGTGCACGGGTGACTGAGTGCATGGCTGGCTTTCTTAAAAAAAAAAAAAAAAAAAGCGGGGGGGGGGGGGGGGTATGGAATCTCCCAACTGCTCTGAGGCGAGACTCTGGAAAACCAGATTCATTCGGGGAGAATCTGGGCTGTCAGGAAAAGAGAAAGCACACTGAGACTCAGGGGAGCTGTGGAAGGCAAAGGTACAGAAATACACAGGCGCACAGAGAGGACTGACTGCTGATTGCTGATCTCCAGTTCCAGGCAGGTTTCTGGGAACCCATACTCATTTGGAGAGAAACTGGACTGTAAGCAGTGGGTGAAACTCGAGGGTGGCTTTCTCTCAGAGGTGCTTGCAGCCATTATAGAGGGACACTGAGACACAGGGGCCTCATAGGGCAGGGCGGTCGGGAAGCCAAGGCTGTCTGCTTCGCCCTGAGACTCTGCCCCATCCAAGCTGAGCACAGAGGCTTTTGCAATTTTGAAAGTCTTGTCTCATAAGGGTGTCTCCAGCACAGAAGTTCTCCCAGCGTAGACACAGCTGATCCTCACAGCTAATTGGCCTGGAGGTCAATTCCTCCCAGTGATACCAACAACAATCAAGACTTAACTACAACAAGGCTGTGCACACGGTCCAGAAAGAGGTGCACCAAGAGTATCCACCTCAGGTAACTGGGGAGGCGTGGGGGGGGGGGGGGGGCAGGCAGGGGTACAGAGGATGAGCTAAGACCCCGTGTCCACCGCAGCCCATAGTTCCTTTCAAGGTGCATGAATCCCTGCACTGGGCCCCTAATACAATGATAAACTTGCCGAAAACTCAACATATAAAAATCATTCTGCTGCTGCTATCATGTGTCTAGGACTTAGTTTCTCTTCTTGAGAGTTAGAATAAACCTAATTCTTAGTGAAGGCTTGCAATTTTCATAGAACAATTCACTTATAATTTAAACAGCATTATTTCAAAACAATTAATTTCAACAGTCTCCTGTACTAAATATTTTTTACATGGCTGAAAATATTTAATACAGGATCAACTTTATCTCTGGCAGAAGTACTTCAGTGAAGGAGTGAAATATTAGACAGACTACCAGAAAATGAAAACAAGTTGAAACTCACCAGTTTTATTTATTCTAGGACTCAAGAATTCTAAATGTGGTTATGGGATTTGGAATAGACTACTAAATGACTAAGATTCAAAGACTTCCCCTTTTTTTCTTTTTTAAGCAACACCTTCCCTCTCATTGTCTGGCCAATTACTAAAAAATCTTAAAACACTCAGTAGGTCAACACACACCTGCCTACCATCCTGACTGGGTAGCTCAGTTGGTTAGAGCATCCTCCCAAGGTTGGAGATTCGATTCCTGGTCAGGGCACATATAAGAATTAACCAATGAATGCATAAATAAGTGGAACAACAAATCAATCTCTCTCTCTCTCTCTCCATATATATATATATATATATATGGCTAGATACTTGCATTAGGAGTCAATTTGATGACCTTGCTCAACAAGGTCTTTGAAGTAGTGGTGCTTTATTGGTGCCTTTAATTTTGAATCAACTACATAAAAATGTGCAAAAGTATATTTATTCACAGTATCTTTATATATATATTTTTAATTGATTTTTTACAGAGAGGAAGAGAGGGATAGAGAATTAGAAACATCGATGAGAGAGAATCATCGATCAGCTGCCTCCTGCACACCCCCTACTGGGGATATGCCCGCAACCAAGGTACATGCCCTTGACTGTAATTGAACCCAGGACCTTTCAGTCCGCAGGCCGACACTCTATCCACTGACCCAAACCAGTTAGGGCTCATTTCTTTCACGGACTATAACTTGAATAGTTTGGGAAGGAGCTCTATCCACTGAGTCAAACCGGTTTTGGCTATTCACAATATCTTTAGTTCTCCATTTTTTCTTACTTAAATTATAAGTGGGTTAAACTGATTCCTAAAATATCTGTGTGAACAGTCCTTGCACTTCACACTCTTCCAAGTCAACAAAACCAATATATGAGAAGGTCCAGAGCTAAGTAGTGAGTGACTAGACTAAGGTCTTTTTAAATCACGATATTATCCCATGGAATAAAAAAAGTTCTCTCCTAATTATTTTAATTTCACTGGATTAGAAGTTACCCACATTACCAAAACTTAAAAACTTTTAAAATACAAGTTATACTAAAAACAATAAGCTTCTAGATTATTTTCTCAAAATACACAAAACAAGCACATGAAACGTAACTTGTTTCAACTACAGTATTAGTTATATGAAATTACTCTAAAACACACAAAAAAATCAATATTAACTAAGAATTTTTAACATATTTTTATTGATTTCAGAGAAAGGATGGGAGGAGAGATTGAAACATCACTGATGAGAGAGAATCATTGATTGGCTGCCTCCTGGGGATCAAGCCTGCAACCCAGGCATGTGCCCTTGACTGGAATCAAACCCAGGACCCTTCAGTCCACAGGCTGACACTCTATCCATTAGCCAAACCATAGATAGGGCTAACATCATTTTTTTTCTTTTTTGTAGCAATGGTTTATGCAACAAAGTCAACAGGGATAATGCCACAAATATTCACAAGGTAATGTAAACTAGTAATCCATTTAAGAAAAAAAAATTTACTTAAAAGTACAGCTATCTCAATTAAGTCTCCAGTGAAAATCTTAGTTACCTTTTTACTACAAGCAAGAAAAAAACACACACAATTATTCCAACATAGCCACCTATTTGAGCCTTCTCTAGTAATCCAACCTTTACAAAGTCCCTACCCAAAGTAGAAATGAGAGAGGATTTGCTAATTAACTATCCAAATTATGTTTCCCTTTTCCACAAGTTTAATACTTGTAAGTAGAGTAGAGGCCTGGTGCATGAAAATTCATTCTCGGCGGGGTGGGGGCCTCAGCCCAGCCTGCCTCCTCTCAAAGTCCAGGTGCCCTCAAGGGGCAGAAGATGACCCGGCAATCAGGGGAAGGCGATGCCGCATCACACCTCTGCTGCTGCCACTACTGGCAGCGCAAGCCTCGGCTGGCACTGGTTCCGAGCCTCAGGCAGCCCTGGCAGCTGGAGGATTGGGGGGGTTAAGGGAACTGGGTGCCTACAGAGGCAGGCGCGTGGGGGGGCCAGGCCTGCCCCCAGGCTTGCCACACACCTGCTGCCCCAGCAGAAATGAGGGGACTGAGTGTTGCCATCTCTGAGGGTGTGACTGTAAATTAGCATATTCCATCCTTATTGGTTGGGGCACTGCCAATTTGTGACAGTGTGATGGCCAATGAGCATATTCCCTCTTTATTAGACAGGATAAAATACTGATTGCCCTGGCCAGGTGGCTCAGTCAGTTGAAGTGCTGTCCTGTACACCAAAAGATTGTCAGCACACATAACAAGGTTGGGGTGCATATGGGAAACTGGTCCTAAAATACCTGTGTTTCTCTCTCACATAAATGTTTCTCTCTCTCTCTCTTTCTCTATCAAATCAATGAAAACATATCCTTGATTGAGAATTTTTTTTAAAAGTAGACTGATTTATCTTTATATTCTTATATTTATATTAATAAAAACATATCTTGCTGAAACTGGTTTGGCTCAGCGGTAGAGCATCGGTCTGCAGACTGAAGGGTCCCGGGTTCGATTCCAGTCAAGGGCATGTACATTGGTTGCGGGCACATCCCCGGTGGGGGGTGTGCAGGAGGCAGCTGGTCGATGGTTCTCTCTCATCGACGTTTCTAGCTCTCTATCTCTCTCCCTTCCTCTCTGTAAAAAAATCAATAAAATATATTAAAAAAAAACAAAAAAAAAACATATCCTTGAGAATTTTTTTTTTAAAAATAGACTGATTTATCTTTTTTAAAAAATATATATTTTATTGATTTTTCACAGAGAGGAAGAGAGAGGGATAGAGAGTTAGAAACATCGATGAGAGAGAATCATCGATCAGCTGCCTCTTGCACACCATTCACTGGGGATGTGTCCACACCAGGGGATGTGCCCACAACCCAGGTACATGCCCTTGCCTGGAATCAAACCCGGGACCTTTCAGTCCGCAGGGCGATGCTCTATTCACTGAGCCAAACCGGTCTCGGTGACTGATTTATCTTTATATTTATACTCTGTACTTCCTTTTTTATATATGTGGAGACAAATGCAGAATTAGGAGGGAAGAATATGTGCTCCACCACACCAACTGAGTGCCACCCAAAGCTCATGCAGAATTTTCCTCAAACAGACTTGGAAACACCAGTAAGCATTTATCCTAAATAAGTCAATACATTTAACTTAGCTGACAGAAAATAAAATCCAAATCTGATATAAAAAAAAAAAGGGCTATTTTAGGTAGAGAATCAGGTTGTGAAAAAATGGATTGTGCTTAGATGTAACCTATAAAATACTCAGAGCATTTTCTGATTATTAGTCCTTTAAAAGGAGAGAAAACCTCAAGTGTTAAAAGTGACGACTGGGTATATTCTTGGCTAAAAGCTCATTAAACCAACTATAAACTCCAGCAAAGTGAACTAGGTCAACTAAATTTCTGTCCTCATCTACTTAGAAGGAACAAATTCTGAAGTCAAGTCATATATCTTATGTCCAGTTTCAAAAAAAATCTATTCACTCACAGGATAGGTACAGTTTTACAAATAGATGTCTATGTTTAATAAATTAGTTTTAAGAAGAAATTAGCAGCAACACGACACTATACTAGAAATATCTTCCATTTCACTAACAAGAAATATCTTCCATTTCACCTACCTAAAATTAGGAAAAAAACAAATGGAACCTAGGTACTTATAAACAAAGAAGCCCATACTCCCCATAATGGGAATTCCAAGTCTTTCTCCTGTGTTCCCTCTCAAGAATGTCATTATGCATGGGTTCTACTCACAGAGGTATGTGGCGCTGCCCAGGATCCGCTCTGGTCAGTTCTTCCTCTTCAATATCAGATTCTCCTCCTGAACTACTGTCAGTGACATCTGAATCAAATGCTTGTTCACTGCACCTCAAGCTGGCTATACCACTAGCTGTAAATCTCTCCAATTCTTCTGAAATGGAATCACTTTTCAGGAAGTTGCTAAGTCCTTCTGAAGTGGTGGTGTCACTGGCAGCTTTTCTCAATGCAGCTTCAGCCTTTCGAGTCAGCATCAACTGGCTTCGGGGCCTCAAGGATTCCAAGTTTGGCAGTTTGCTCAAAGTTTTCTCTAAAAATCCACCGAGCTGATGCTGAATGTGCCTTTCCACCTGCTTGGCTTGCACAACCTGTAAGCGCTTCTGTAATCTGCGGGCACGGTTTTCAATATCAGCCTGCCGCCGTAGTAAAGCTGTTATCCTTGTGTCAGAATCTAAAGCACTAAAAAGAATGGAAGACAGGGGAGACTTTTTACCCTCTAACTTGACGCCCCCCAAATTAGAACTGGAGTCTGTGCCAGGTGATAATCTACTGCTTCCTTGAAGTGCTGGCTGTTCCATGGAATTTACAGAAGATTTGTTTGCAGTGCTATTATTGCTAAATATAGTTGTGTGTTCTACATCAAGGCTTCTATGTGGAAGAGTGCAATTGGTCATACCCCCCTTCAAGTCCGCTGATTCAGATGCCACCATTTCACCCCCCTGAGAAGATGAAGAAAGAGTTCGTTTTCCCCCATTGAGGGAACTGGAATTGTCATGATCAGAATGTGTTGAACTTTTAGTCAATTTCTTAGCCAACCCATTTACAGGTGCTTGTGGCAGAGCTGTCTGACCACTGGTATTCATGGTTCTAAGATTTTCTAAGGAAAACTCCAAAACTGGCTGTCTCCCCAACAGCTCAGCTCGGAGTTCATAGGACTGAGATAAGAAAGGGTGAGATTTAAGGACTGTCTGCTTGCTGAAGACACCTTGCAATTTCAACGATTCCTTCGAGGAAACAGGTGTTACATCGGAGCAGAGATAAGATGCCACCAAGGGTTGCAGCTTTCCCAAATCTTCCTTAGGATTATTTCGGAAGTCTAGACTGGGATCCTCTGCAGCAATGGCTTTTCTTTTGGTTCCGTTGGCAGCAATAAGGATGTTGGCGTTGCCGTTGTTTTCGGCACTGCCAGGGGACAAAGTGGAGGATGGGGGAGCCAGTTTGAACCGGATATGGTGTGCTTCAGCTGCTGCGTCAGTGAGAGCGGGCGCCATCGCAGCCATTCAGCACAGAGAGACAGGAAGTCCAGCCTCTCCCGGTGCCGAGGCCAGCTCCACGGCCCCTTTCTGCCTCCCCAGAGAACAGACTAGGAAAAAAAAGAACAAAAGGAAGTTAGAAATACAAGCATACTAGACAACAACAACAACATTTTTAATACAAATACTCCTTGAGGCTATAATCCAAACTCTGCCACCAATCATTCACTCTGGAGACCTAAATATCCTTCATCAGAGGAGGGAGGGGGTGGGCCGGAAGGGAAGGAGGGAGAGGGAGAGCACATACACACACTTTTCTATACAAAGAAAGAATTCCACCTTTTTTTTTGGTCACTTGTTACCAGATTGAAAGTAGCTAAAACAGAAGTTACACAGTGAGAGAATCATAGATTACTAAAGTCAAATCACCCGCATTTAAGAGAAAAATCTCTTTAAACTTCTTAAAATTAGTGGATTTAAAGCAAATGAAGCAAACTAAACACCTAGCAATTAAACAGAAAAGAATTAGTAAGGAATTCTCCATCCCTATCAAAAAGTTTGTATGCCAAATGTCATAAATCTGTGTATTTTTCTGGCCAAACAATCCAGTGTACACCAGCTTCTCATTTCTCAGCAAGACAGCTCATACTATAAGCTTAACTGTGTCACACTGTCAACTTTCTTTCACTGTCCTCAGTACAACCCACTTCTCAAATTAATTGCCCAAGTTGTCTCTTCCCTTCACTCCAAAACTTCCTAAAATAATAATATAAATAGCTGCCTCTGCATTCTAATCTGGCTCCTACCTCTCAGGCAAAAGTTACCAGTAATCTCATTATCAAATCTCAATGGTCAAGTCTCAATCCCCAATCTATTTGACTTCTCTAAAGCATTAGGTAGTGCTGACCAATTATTCTTATTTTTTAAATATATTTTATTGATTTTTTACAGAGAGGAAAGGAGAGGGACAGAGAGCTAGAAACATCGATGAGAGAGAAACATTGATCAGCTGCCTCCTGCACACCTCCTACTAGAGATGTACCCGCAACCAAGGTATATGCCCTTGACCAGAATCGAACCTGGGACCTTTCAGTCAGCAAGCCAACGTTCTATTCACTGAGCCAAACCAGTCCTGCCTGACCAATCATTCTTGAAACTCTCCTTTCCTGATGTCCTTGATACCAAGGTTCCTTCTTCTGTCCTCTTCTCTCTGAACCCACTTCCTTCTCAACAACTACTAGTATGTATTAGTACAGTGAGGCCTCTCATATGTTTATTGAGGCCTCCTAATACTCAGAAAAACTTGCTGAGCTGTACTAGTCAGCATTCCCACCTCTGTGTTTCTTAAGCTCCCTGGAACTCAAAATTCACTTTCTTCTTTCAATACTCTTCAACTAGATTTATTATCTCTGGTAATGGTATTGCTTTCACTTAGTAACCTAAGCTAAAAGCCTGTCATTTGCTTCTATTTGGTTTGAGAACAAAAGAAAATCTATGTAAAGAACTAAGCCAAATGTTCTTGAAAGTGTGGTTTACAGATTTCTTGGGAGCTCAAAGACCATTTTCAAGGGTCCACGAGAGGAATTTTCATTGTAACACTAAAAACTTATTTGCCTTTTTATTTTTTTGTGTGTTGATATTTGCAATGAGGGTACAAAAACAAGGCTGAGCACCTGTGTACCAGAAAGATTGCAGGCCGAAACCAGTTTGGCTCAGTGGTGGAGCGTCGGTCTGCGGACTGAAAGGTCTCAGGTTCGATTCCGGTCAGGGGCATGTGCATTGGTTGTGGGCACATCCCCGGATGTGCAGGAGGCAGCTGGTCGATGTTTCTCTCTCATCGACGTTTCTAGCTCTCTCTCTCTCTCCCTTCTCCTTTGTGAAAAATCAATAAAATATATTTTTTTAAAAAAAAAAAAGAAAGAAAAAAAAAAGAAAAAAAAGAAAGAAAGATTGCAGGTTCAATTCCCAGTCAGGGCATATACAGGAGGCAATTGATTCATGTCTCTCTCTCACATCAATGTCTATCTATCCGTGTCTCTCTCTCTCTCTCCCTCCCCCCCTTCCTATCTCTTCCTGTGTCTCTAAAATCAATAAACATGTCCTCAGGTTAGGATTTTTTAAGAAAACTAGTTCCATTTATCAATGTCCTTGACAATATTATGAAAATTAGAAATTTATTAAATCTCTACTCTTTGCCGGGACCGGTTTGGCTCAATGGATAGAGCGTCGGCTTGGGGACTGAAGGGTCCCGGGTTCGATTCCGGTCAAGGGCATGTATCTTGGTTGCGGGCATATCCCCAGTAGGGGGTGTGCAAGAGGCAGCTGATCAATGACTCTCTCTCATTGATGTTTCTAACTCTCTATCCCTCTCCCTTCCTCTCTGTACAAAAATCAATAAAATATATTTAAAAAAAAAAAAAAATCTCTACTCTTTACTTTTTAAAATATTTTTTGTGATGAAAGGGAAAGTACGCATAAATTACTTCTGAAGCTTTAGTAAGTCTGTGCTCAGTGGTTAGAGCCTTGGCACACCCACTGAAGGGTCTTGAGTTGGATTCTCAATCAAGGGCATATACCTGGGTTAAAGGTTCTACCTCCAGCCCCAGTCGGAACACGTGCAGTAGGCAACCAATCAATGTCTCTCACATCAATGTTTCTCTCCCTCTCTCTCCCAAAAAAAAAAAATATATATCAATGGGAAAAAAATCCTCAGGTAAGAGTTAACAAAAAGTAGTAGTCTGAGAAAAAGCACTTGTACAACTGTATTGGAAGCTGAACTAGAAGCTTTTCTCATCTGACACAATTTTTAGTTGGCAGAACTATGTAGTTAGCAGACATTTTCCCAAAAATGAACAAAGTGAACCTGTCACTTCAAGAAAAACCACTGGCAATATTTATTGCCAATTTATAAAACCTGAGTTTTCAAGCAAAAATAAGTATTTGAAAACTTTTTTAAAAAATATATTTTATTGATTTTGTACAGAGGAAGGGAGAGAAATAGAGAGTTAGAAACATCGATGAGAGAGAGTCATCGATCAGCTGCCTCTTGCACACCCCCCACTGGGGATATGCCCGCAACCAAGGTACATGCCCTTGACTGGAATCGAACCCGGGAGGGACCCTTCAGACCCCAAGCCAACGCTCTATCCACTGAGCCAAACCGGTTTCAGCAGTATTTGAAAACTTTTATCTACCATCATGAACTTGAACATATTCCATTACTTTAAAAAGTCATTTCTAATTAAATATACTACTGCTGATATCAATAAATCTGAATTTTTTTATGCCATATAATAAAATGTGTAAACATTTGAAAGATCTGGGAAGCTCAGTATATGACCAAGTGATCAATAAATGTTAGAAACTCATACACAGGTAAAAATAAGCTCAAGACAGACCAATAGATTTTAATTTAATCTAACTTCTTCATCTCATGGCACACTAAAATTAGTACTAAAATCCTGCAGCACCACACAAAAATATATTTTTTTTGCTGATCTGACAAAAAAAACCCAGGTGTAATTTTGATTCATTTACACTGGACAGCTAATCTCATTATTGTAGTTGGCTGTTGTTTTTTTATTAAAGTATCTAAAGGAAAAAGCAACCTCTTCAGAAGGAATTCCATTTCTAACTCCTAAATCTTTATCTTTCTACACCAAAATAATACTACTTATAGAAAAAGATAAAAATCTACAACCATCACCCTTAGTGGACTTGTAATGCAATGCTGAGGTTCAGTATTACCCCTAAAGGCATTCCCAGGAAAGAAGAGTAGGTCCAAGGTCACATCATGGCTCCACCCTCATTTAAATTTTCAACTGTTCCCTCCATTTCCTCGTGTATGAGAGATGAGCCTATCTCACAAGGTTGCTGTGATGATTAAATGAAATATTTTCAATTACTTAGCCTAGTGCCTGGCAAAAACACCCATTGCACTATTATAAATAATAACCTATAGACTAAAAGCAAATATAAAAATAACTTTCTATGAGACTTAATGCACAGGAAAAATATTAAGCAAATATTTGTCTAAAAGATACCTGTACTTGAGGACTTAGGGGGAAAAGCACATAAATGGACATGACAAATCTAGTTAGCTAGCACTCAATATTAGCTTTCATTGCCATAAATCACCACCTAAGCTTAGAAATTTTAAGAATATTTTCACTGTATGTCCAGATTTCATTTTATTTTAATATTTCATGATGTTGTTTCTGATAAAGAGAGCAAATCAAATGCCCAACAATTTAAATTATGAAATATCCATACAATGGAATACTATGCAATAAATAACAAAGCACACTTGTATTTACTGACATGAAAAAGTTCCTGCTTCACTGTTATTTTTTTAAACGTGTTATAAAACAAAACAAGTACTATAACCACATTTTTGTTTAAAACATAGGTGGTAATATTCTTCTGTCTTTAGTTTTCTGACTTATGTAATTGTCTCTACCATAAACATGTATTACTTATATAATAAAAAGGGAAGGACGCAAAAAGAAAATAATGCAAATTTTTAAAAAGCCAAAAAATTTGAGTAAGGCAAAATGTTTCAGTGACTTTCTTAAAAAATGAACATACTCCACAAAATGTTGATTAAAATAATCATTCTCATCCCACTTTAAATCCTAAAGGTTTCACTGTCCAACAATTTAAATCAGAGAAGACTGTTAAACTTTAGCAGTTTTACAAAAACAGCACAACAGCTTATAAGTCTCCTTTCTAAGAATACAAAGCATTAAAAGCTATAATTAAGTTATTAATCCTCAAAACAGCCTGGACAGTAGTAGGTTTCAGGCTGGGATTATAATTTCCAATTTGCAGCTAGGGTTAGACAATAAAGTTATAGTGTACACTCAAAATAAGAAATCTAAAATATCCCTATTTTTAATTCATCTAATAAACCACAATCTGACAAATGCAGATGAGGCTAACATAAATTAAGATTTTCCCGTTAAGTTTAAAGAGACAAAAGAACCGATCTGCTATAAAAGGTTGGGCTAGGTAATTAATGGTTTCCC